TCAAAAGATAAATAGATAGCTAGAAACAGAGTGACATAGATAGATAGATAGATAGATAGATAGATAGATAGATATAATCAGAATCAAATTGCTAGATAAATAGAAGCAGACTGACATAGATATATAGATAGATATGAACAGAATTAAATAGATAGATAGATACTTTCTTTTTATGTGCCATGTCCTTTCAGGGCATGGGCGATCATGGCTCTCCACCTCTTCCTCTATCCCTTGCAGCTCTCAATAAGTTCCTTCCCTCTGTTTCCTCCCCCAGACCATGTTCTGTCATCCACTTGCTTAAGCGTGCCAGGTATTTCATGCATTGTTTTCCCTTGCCTCTCTTTTCCTCTATTCAACCCATGAGTATCAGATTCTCCAGAACCTCCTTCCTCATTACGTGTCTCAGAAACTTCAGCTGCCTCTTCCTGCTATTCCTTGTTTGCAACATCTCTAAGATCTCATCGTTGCTCACACATTCTGTCCATGATATCCTCAGCATCCTTCTGTAGAACCCCATTTCTATCACCTTGATTCTCTTCTTCATCTTTGAGAAAATCATCCAACATTCGTTGTCAGAAAGATGTTACGTAACAGTTCAGTACTCTTTTCTTAAGCAAATCTTTTCTCTCGTTACCAAAGAAATCCTCCTGTCTCACAGTACTCTGCTCAGGTTTTGGAATGTGTCTTTGGCCATCCCAATACATCTACGGATCTCAGTGTTGCACTTACCGTCCCTGTCAAGATGCTTCCCAGATATTTAAACTTCAGAATCTGCTTGATTCTAGTGTTCCTGACCTTCAACTCAAATTTTGGGCTCATCTTCTTACTGACAACCATGCATTCTGTCTTCTTATAGTTTATGCTTAGTCCCTTCTTCTCACTCTCTGCCGCTACCTTATGTAGGAGATTTTGTTATTTCTTTTCTGTGACTGCTATCAGTACTGTGTCATCTACATATCTTATGTTGTTAAGATTGTGGCCGCCAATGCTAAATTCCGGTAGGGTTTCCAATTCTCTCAGAATTGCCTCACTGTATAGGTTGAATAGGTCAGGTGAGAAGACACATCCTTGCCTTACACCCCTTTCTATTTTTGTATATTCATTGAACTCATTCCCTATGCATATGCATGCTGTTTGCTGCCAGTATAGGTTCTTGATTATTCTGATATCTTTCCCAAATATATTGAGGTTGCTGAGCAGTTCCATCAGATTCATGTGGCATACTTTGTCAAAGGCCTTTGCGTAGTCTATGAAATATAGGTACATATCTTTCTGCATCTGTGTCACTCTTTCTGATAACATTTTGAGCATAAATATTGCATTTCTTGTTCCAGTGTCTTTAATGAACCTGCACTGTTCTTATCCTATCTCTGGCCTGATTCTGCTGTGCACTCTGTTCATTAGAAAACGGATGATGAGTTTTGTCACATAGCTCATTAGGCTTATTTTTTGGTGGAGTTCACATTTGTTTGCACCTGTTTTCTTAGGCATAGCTATGAAGATAGATCTGCTGAGGTCTTCCAGTATATCCCCACTGTTGTAGATTTCATTTTGTTATTTTGGTGATCTTGTCTATGCCAAAGTCAACGAAGGCTGTCAGCATTTCTGTTACAATTCTGTCTGTCTGTCTGTCTGTATAGATAGATAGATAGATAGATAGATAGATAGATAGATAGATAGAAAATATGTTTTATATGCTGCTACAAACTGGATCTATTAACTCTTTGGTAATACCAGGAGATTTCTTGTTCGGTGCCCTTTATCCTGTTTTATAATTAGTTACTTTTTCAGTATTTGTCTTCTGCTGGTCACCATTTTGTAATAGCAAGAGTTGTGACTTTTTGCTGAAAAGTTGAAAAACTTTCAAATAAATGAATTCAACATTTTCAAGAGAAACAAATTCAACACACCGAGATATACCTTTTGGGGCTCTTTCTGAAATCCAACTGTTACTTTCTCTTTTTATAATCCCCTTGTTTTTCTAAAGTGAAAAATTTTAATTTTGATTTAAATTTAAGATTATTCATCTGCATTCTTTCATAATTATGGATCAGCAACAATTTAAAATTAATTTTCTTACAGAGTATCAATTTAGCCCTAGAAGTTCCCTATGATCCATACAGCCTATTAATAGAAGAAGAGGAAAGATAAATGGCAAAACTTTTCATTCATTTCTCTCTCATCTTCATTGTCACTCTTTACTGTAGGAGATAGAATGGAACATTCAGTCAGGAAGAGTTATGTTTCTTTATTCAACAGAGCCCAGCACTTTAAAATCTGTCCAATATAATAGGTACAGGTATTGGGAAGGTCTGGATATTGATAGTTGATAACTTGGCACAGGACCTTCTATACAACTAATTGACTGACATCATACAGTCTATATTAAGTGGCTTTCCGAAATATATAAGGGGTATGATCACAAAATTGGCAGAGAGTCAGAATGGAAAGATTCAGGCAAGTGAATAAAACTATAAACTTTGATAAATGAGAAGTTTTATCTTTGTAAGCATATTGAGGCATTTCCTCATGTAACATCGAAATCTATCGACATTGCCATGAGCAGTTTGACAAAATGACAGCTGCACAGTTTGATGAACAAAAGTGCCATAACTTCGGTAAGGATTGCAAATATACTACATCAGATTTTATTATGCAAGTCAATGTTTTCACAATAAAATTCGTATGAACTAACCAATATTGGTATAATTTTCAGGATATGCTTATATTTATATCAGCAATATATCGTGCAAGTTTCAGCTTATAATATCAATCCTTAACCCTATCCCAGGCAGGTGACGGGAGGCATTTTGTCCATGCCCAACTTTCAATATATATATATATATATATATATATGTGTGTGTGTGTGTGTGTGTGTGTGTGTATATATATATATATATATATATATATATATTTATATATAAAAGTGAACATTGAATCAACACTCAGATGTGACAGGCTGTTTCATGCTCGATGCAATCATCAGGCCGCTGATATATACATATATATATATATATATATATATATATATATATATCCGTCCTGGGTATGACAATAAACTAAATCCGCATCCTGGGTAAGACGATAAACTACATCCAACAGCAGGGCCTCCGATAGAGTCCCAACTATGCACAAATAAACTAGGGTTAAAACACTATGAAAGTGTGAAAATAGGTTTTAATACTAAAAATTGTAAAAAATTATTATCAGAGATACATTTTTGAAAGAAAAAATATAACCAGTCAAATAAAATTGTCAGCATTAAATAACCCATTGTAGTTGATATGCTGTAAAACTAAACAAAACAAACATATCTGTCTATCTATCTATTTATCTACCTATCTATCTATCTATCTATATATATATATATATATATATAATTCTGTATTTGGGCAGCAATCCCTCTTTTAGACAAGTCTCCTTGAAGACAACAAACAAAGCATGGTGATTAAGCTCTTTAAAAAAGTTTTCTTGCAGTCATACAAGTATTTCCTTTTATGGTCACAGAGAGTGTAAAAACTATCTAAATGTTCTATATATTCAAGCACTTTCAGTTAATCTATTAGACATCATCTAGGAGGTTTTTTTAATCGAATATGTAGATTTTTATATATGTGTTTATAAAGGAAATGTTTTTTTTATAAATTCATTTCTGAACATGGTCAGCATATTGTGGCCATGTTCAGAGTTGAAATTATTGAGAGTTAGCTTCTTCTTTTTCATTATAAAAGCTTCCATTATTTTTAACCGTTTCTTGCATGTGGATGAGGCTATTACTGTTCCATTTTCCATGACTATGTTGTGAACAAAGGTTGGTAAGTTTCTGTATGTGTTTTTTAATTCGGCCCTAATTGAGCTATAATCTGAGAGACGTAACATGAGTCTTCTTGATAAGCATGTAGTGGTATATTCAATATAATTATTTATGTATTTGGTTTGATCAGGAACACAATTCCTTAATAAGCATGTAAAATTATAAATAATATTGGAGTTGTTGATGATGAGGTTAGCTGTTTTAATTTTTTTATAATAGATAATTAATTTAATTTTCTTCTTTTTTATAATAGATAATTAATTTAATTTTCTTCTTTTTTATAATAGACAATTAATTTAATTTTCTTCTTTTTTTTATAATAGATAATTAATTTAATTTTCTTCTTTTTTATAATAGATAATTAATTTAATTTTCTTCTTTTTTATAATAGATAATTAATTTAATTTTCTTCTTTTTTATAATAGATAATTAATTTAATTTTCTTCTTTTTTTATAATAGATAATTAATTTAATTTTCTTCTTTTTATAATAGACAATTAATTTAATTCTCTTCTTTTTATAATAGACAATTAATTTAATTTTCTTCTTTTTATAATAGATAATTAATTTAATTTTCTTTTTTTATAATAGATAATTAATTTAATTTTTTCTTCTTTTTATAATAGATAATTAATTTAATTTTCTTCTTTTTATAATAGATAATTAATTTAATTTTTCTTTTTTTATAATAGATAATTAATTTAATTTTTCTTCATTTCTTTGATTAAACAAATTTTTATTTTTCAGAAACTTATTAATTTATAATTTTTATGTATGCACAAAGGACATAGGGTCATTTAATGACCTACAAGCTCTAGACCTTCTTATTAATTTCCATTTTACTATTCGTGTTTTATTGATTTCTTTTAAGTGCCAGAAATATTTAGATAGGTACATTTGATTTCTGTATTTATTATTTTTAAAGGACATCTGATGTTGGTAACAATGTCTTTTGAAATCATGTCTTGTGCATCCCATGTAGATTTTTTCTACGTCTGGATCTTCAGTAGATGAAATATTGAATTCATAAACCAATGATTCTATACAACATTTATTATTGAGAGGGCAGTTTTGTGGATTTCTACAGTTACATAATTTTTATTTATTTTAATTTCTTTTTATTTTAGGATCTACATTTTTTTTATTTAAGTGTTTACTCAAGATTATATTTCTTAATAATCATTTCTAAGTTTTCAGTAGAACTGTAACTTAATTTTAGGGTATTTTTATTAAAAATTGTACTGAATTTACTATCTCTAGGAAAATGTTTATCAATTAATTCAAGGAATTTTTGTCCTAATTGTATGCCAAATTATTTTTCTACTTCTGTTTTTTATATGGTCCCCTCTTCCATTTTTTATATAACTGAGTTTTTGGCATTTATAGCCGCTATTCTTTATTATCTGTCATCTGGAATTTTAATGAAAGCAGTGATGACACCTATCCTGAATCCATCATAAAAATTAAGGATGAAGAATTAGTAAATATTAAAGACTTCAAATACCTTGGTGTATGGATCACTAATAACAAATTTAATATAAGAGAAAAAGAAATTGGAATAGGCTGAGCTTGAGTTATTTTCGCCCAACACCGAAAATTGCTAAAAAAACAAAAAACAAAAACAAAACATTAATCTGAAAACACCAAACATGATGAAAATTATTAACTACTTACATTACTCAGGCTGTTATCCACATTTTCATCGCCATATTCGCAACATTTCAACCAATTTATGCTCCAATCTTCTTCAGGTGATAGGAATTTTGAAACGAACCCTTTATATTCAAGTAGATTGTTCTAGTTCCACATTGACATACCTCTTCCAGATGTCTCAGTTATTTCCCTTTAACTCAAATCTCCAAGTTTTTTGGTACACCAATGCTGTAGCCTGGTACTGAACTCAAAACTATTATTATAGAAATTACTATGTTCAAAAATCTTAATTAGCTATTCCAAAAATCACTTGAAAATGGAATGGAGCTATGGATTTCAAATTTAATTTTATAATTAAATTTAAAATTTCAGTTTCTTTTTTGAAACATGGTACTTCCTGTGTAGCGATGGAACCATGTTATTAAAATAGAAAATAATTATAATATTATGCTCTACTGTTTTTTTATCGAGTACTGTTTTTTAAAAATAAAAATAATTACTAAATCTTACTGTTCTTTCTTATTATTTTATATATATATATATATATATATATATATATATATATATATATATATATATGTATGTATATAATTGTGTATTTGGGCAAATTTATTTTGAGTGTAGCAGCAATGTATTGAAGTGCATATAACAAACGTTTAATGATATTTTACATTTCTACCAACTTCCAGTCAGCTCCCTTATATTGGGACGCTTGTTTTGAAAAGAATTCTATGACTACAATGTATAAATTAAAATAACTATAACAGAGCACATTTGCGCATGTTTTTTTAAAAATCACCATCACAGCGGAAAGCAGATTTTATCACAATTACAATAAGTCTGTCTTTGTAATTTGCCCCTCTTGGAAAAGGTCAAAAGTAATTGGGTTAGAAAATTCCATGGCAGCTTTCTTGATGAATTTCATCTTAACATCAAGAAACTGATTATAGAACTGGAAAGGAACACTATAAAAATAAATAGATACAATATATCTATATATGAAACATGTTTGAATGAAGGTATGCTGCATACATATATATATATATATATATATATATATATATATATATATATATATATATATATACACACACTAGAATAAATCATAAGGAGCCAGGCAAACCTACCTAGGTTTCACCTAAACAGATCTTCAGGGTAAAACCGATCTGTCCTGACATATCTGCAAATTGAGCTATCCGAGGTTTTCCAAATGAGTACTACTATTAATATATATATATATATATATATATATATATATATATATATATGTATGTATGTGTGTGTGTGTGTGTGTGTGTGTGTGTGTGTGTGCAAGTATGTAAAAAAATAGGAAAGAACACGTTAGGTAAATAATCCAGCTTCCTTTAGTATTTTTGTTTTTATTTTTAAAAAACAGTGCTACATATAGAAGTAGAGCTTATATTTATTTTTAAATAATTATAATATATATATATATATATATATATATATATATATATATATATGGAGAAATATAGTTTTAAGGTGTGCTATATTTATGGGATAAAGGGATAGAGTGTATGTAAATATAAAAATGAACATTGATGTCAACACTCAGAGGTGACAGGCAGCCTGATGATTGCGTCTAGCATGAAACAGCCTGTCACCTCTGAGTGTTGACTTCAATGCTCACTTTTACATTTATATATATATATATATTTATATATATGGGGGGGGAGTGCGTGTTTCTCCAATTCTTTCAAAGGTTGAGTAAGAGCAATATGTGGATCTGTTGATTGAGGACAGTGGGGCCCATTTTGTAAGACTATTTTTCTTCAAGAGGAATGAACTCATCATTTGTTAAAATTTGTTTATCAGCAAACGGCTGAAGACTCACAGTAAAGCATATTCTGATAGGATGTATTCATTCTTAATGATGACTGATGAAGATATTTACACATGGGACCTTTTGAAAGTATCCAACATGGCTTCCAACTTGTCAAGTGATGTTTATGTATTTAGAGTCCTGCAGATTTTCAAAATGACTCTTCATTGCTTGATTTTTTCCTTCTTGGAATTTTCAGCATGTAAGATTCAGTGAGCACCCCCTCCCACCCAGCCACCAACCACCACAAAACAAAAACTTGTCTGGATAAATAACTTGATAGTTCTTCTTATTTACTTGGTTCCATGGTTATAGATTTATACAAACATATATTCAGAATCCAGGATATACATATCCTGGTAATGTTAATAGTGATATTAGCCATTTCTTTATAAGGAAACATTAATTGACTGAACAGCCAGTGTTACTTTTGGTTGGAATTTATAAATTCTTTTTCTTAAAACAATTTTCAGGAAGATAGATTTCTCATGTCTACTAATTGTAATCATTCTTTCCAGTACTGACAAAAGCTATGTTCCTAACTTTTTGTTTTGTTTTGCATGAAAAGAATATCAGCATATTGATTACGTTATTATTTTCTTGTCAAGTTACATGCGATATCTATTTTAGTGGTTGCTGTTGTTGAAAGTCCTCAAGTGATGTGGTTTTTGTTATTTTGTACAATTCTTTGTTTCTGATCCTGTAGCACCAGTCTATGAGATTTGAAAAGTGGTCTTATTCCCCCACAATTCTCCTCTACACACACTAACATGTGATATTCTTACTATTGGACAGGCAGTAAACGCAAACAGGCCGTCTACATGTGCATCAACAAAAATATCAGCTCCTTTTCATTTATCAGGCCATAATAGTAACATTTATCTCTTATTACTCAACAAAAATTTGAGGTATGAAAACCTCAGACACTTTTTGTATTTTCCAACTGAATTATCTGGACATTCATTACACACATATGAGAAAGACTGTATTCTTTACCTAGTCATTCTGTCAGATTCTGACCCATATATGATTTAAATTTAACCCCAAACTCACAATTTTACTCAGTATTACTGTTTCTTGTGTCTCTGACACAACATAACCAGATAATAAATAATATTCATTTTATTATTTCCATGGCTTGTGTTTCTCATTTTTATGCATATAGAAATTTTAGGGGCTTATAATTATTTACTCAGAGTTATAACCCCCTATACCTTACAGTGACTGTATTTTATTGTTACCATTTAATATTTGTCTAATCTTTCAGCAGTCTCTCTATCTTTCTTTTACTATATATATGCTAGACACTCCCATCATTTTTTTTTGACATATGAGGATCAAGCAACTCAGTTTCTAGGAACTGACAGCCAGACACCTACACATATGATTTGATTATGGTGGTGAAGGCTTTGTGCATAACTAAACACACCTTTTGAAGGGCCAAATACAGACCTGGTGTACTGTGTGCCACAAGGTCCCTAAATGACCCTCCACAGGTTTTGAATTGAGAGCTGTCTTTCTCCTAGACCAGTAACCATCCAAGGCTATAGAACCCAGTCTTGATATTTACCCATAGTTGGAGGAAAGGTATTAGCACGTAAATGAATGTAAGGAATTCGACTGGAATTTGAAATTGGCACTTCAATTCCTCAGTTCGAGCCACTATCCACTACTCCACATTGTCTCCTGAGAGAGAGAGAGAGAGAGAGAGAGAGATAGAGAGATACAAGGTAAAATGAATAAATTGTTATCTAAATTATACAAAAATGAAAATCACATTGACATCTCATTTTAACAAATATATTTATTAAAATTACACAAAAATATCTTGAAATACTAAAGATTAAATTTATTTAATAAAATCACCATTGGCTTCAACCATGGCCTCAGACGACTTCAGAATCTCCGCCATCTCTTCTGGATGATCTCTTTGTTTAAGTAGGTAAATGCTGCCATAATCCTTGACTTCAGTTCATCTTTAGTATTACAAGGAATATTGTTGGTATCTCACTCAACTGTGCCCTACATGCAGTATTCAAGGGGTTGCAGTCTTGGGAGTGAGGTGGCCCGACATAAGAGTTGATATAGTCACAGAAATTGTCTGAAAGCCATTCTCTGCACTGTCTTCAAACTGACACCCAAATACTCTGAAACATTCATATTGGAGCTTTTTGCACTTCAAAATTTCTAGTGGAGTGAATTGCATCATGGTGCTCTTTTTCTCACAGACTGGGCCCAACTGACCCTCGTATACTGTGCAGTTGACAAAATCAAAAACAAACAACGTGCATGTGCAAATGGCGACAAATTACCCATCGCTCCCTACAGATATATATAGAGTCTGATGATTACATTTAAGTATGAAAATGACTCTTGCCATTCACTGCTGATACATGTTGCTTATGCTTACATACTCTCTCTTTGATGATGGGCACTTTCCCCAAGAATATGGTATACTTCAAATCTACATTTCATCATATATATATATATATATATATATATAGCATACCTTAAAACGATATCTTTATCATAAATATATATATATATATATATATATATATATATATATATATAATATAAAAGTGAACATTGAAGTCAACACTCAGAGGCAACATGCCATGGCCTGATGATAGCATCCAGCATGAAGCAGCCTGTTGCCTCTGAGTGTTGATTTCAATGTTCACTTTTATATTCATATTTACATATGCTCTATCTCTGATATTGAGCACTTTATCCCATAATAAATTTAGCACAACTTAAAACTATATTTCTTCATATATATATATATATATATATATATATATGTGTGTGTGTGTGTGTGTGTGTATATATATATATATATATATATATATATATATATACACCCACACATACACATATATATATGTATAGAATCATGAATCTTGTGTTGTTGATGGTAGAAGTAATATCAGCAGTGCCTAATTTTGGGATTTCATATGTCTGCTTTCTAGTACTGAGGATGAAATTGTATGAGAAGTGAAGAAGTCAATATTTTTTTACCTAGATATTCTTGGCTACATATTCTAAGGTCTTTGAGGTAGAATCCTATGACTAGTCTGGATTTTATTTTTTGACTTTTGTGGGAATGAAATTAAATTGATCGTTTTTTGTTCGTGAGTTAGCAGTAAACTCTAAAAGCAAATTTGTTTTTGTTAAGTAATAATAAGATATCAAAAAAGGATAGAGACTTTTGTATATTTCAAATTCATGTGTAAATTCAATGGTAGGTTCTACATTATAAAGTATCTTTATGATGTCCAGTAGATTTTCATTGCAATGATATATTAAAAGAATATTGTCTATGTATCTGAAGTAAGTGGAGTTTTTAGATATGATATGTTTAAAAGGACAGGACTCTAAAAATTCTAGGCAAACACAAGAAAGGGCACCAATAATAGTTAAAGAATATTTTATTAAAAGTCAATCACCAATGTTTCAGGTGGTGATTGACTAATTTATAAAGTTTTAAAATTTTCTTGACACATAGAAGAGGAAGTAATTCTTTGGATTCTTTGAGGTGGTTTCTTAATTTTGGCATGAGAATGTTTATGTTTATTATTAAGTCAATGGAATGTTTAATGTTGGGTTGGTGGTGCCTAAGAACAGAATTAGGATTTTGCAATTACGTCAGCTAAATTGTGGAGAGATAGATAGATAGATAGAAAACACCTAGATAGATAGTTAGATAAATAGATAGATTAAAAAAAAACAAGACAAATAGGTAGAAATAAATGACCAAGACAGATAAATAGATAGACAGACAGAAAAGTCCAAAATAGATAGATAGAAAGAAAAGACTGAGATAGATAGATAGATAAGACTGAGATAGATAGATCGATAGATAGATAGATAGAGAGATAGATAGATAGAGTGATAGACTGAAAAAAAAACAATACAAATAGGTAGAGATAAATGACCAAGACAGATAAATAGACAGAAAAGTCCAAAATAGATAGATAGATAGATAGATAGATAGATAGAAAGAAAAGACTGAGATAGATAGATAGATAGATAGATAAGACTGAGATAGATAGATCGATAGATAGATAGATAGAGAGATAGATAAATAGATAGACTGAAAAAAAACAAGACAAATAGGTAGAGATAAATGACCAAGACAGATAAATAGATAGACAGACAGAAAAGTCCAAAATAGATAGATAGATAGATAGATAGATAGAAAGAAAAAACTGAGATAGATAGATAGATAGATAGATAGATAGATAGATAAGACTGAGATAGATAGATAGATAGATAGATAGATAGACTGAAAAAAAACAAGACAAATAGGTGAGATAAATGACCAAGACAGATAAATAGATAGACAGACAGAAAAGTCCAAAATAGATAGATAGATAGATAGAAAGAAAAAACTGAGATAGATAGATAGATAGATAGATAGATAGATAGATAAGACTGAGATAGATAGATCGATAGATAGATAGATAGATCGATAGATAGATAGAGAGATAGATAGATAGATAGACTGAAAAAAAAACAAGACAAATAGGTAGAGATAAATGACCAAGACAGATAAATAGATAGACAGAAAAGTCCAAAATAGATAGATAGATAGATAGATAGATAGAAAAGACTGAGATAGATCGATACATAGATAGATGGATAGATAGATTGAAAAAAAACCAAGACAAATAGGTAGAGATAAATGACCAAGATAGATAGATAGATAGATAGATAGAAAAGTCCCAAATAGATAGATAGATAGATGAGACAGAGATAGATAGAAAGAAAGAAAAGACTGAGATAGAAAGATAGATAGATAGATAGACATATATGAACAAAATGAGATAGATAGAAAAGACTGAGATAGATAGATAGATAGATAGATAGATAGATAGATAGATAGATAGATAGATAAAAACCGAGACAGATAGGTAGATATAAATGACCAAGACAGATAGATAGATAGATAGATAGATAGATAGATAGATAGGAAAGACTGAGTTAGATGACCAGAGATAATAGATAGAAAAGACTAAAATAGATAGATAGATAGATAGTTAGATGACCAGAGATAATAGATAGAAAAGACTAAAATAGATAGATAGATAGATAGATAGATAGATGGATAGATAGAGGAGAGAGAGAGAGAGAGAGAGTTTCATAGAAATGATCTGGTTGTGGAGGTGAAGAGCATTAATTAATATGAGAACTTCTGTGGTGAATAGAAAAGCAAATAAATACTTATGTGAAAGATGGCCAGCTGGGAAAACTGTAGAGTGGAATTTAATGACATGGACCCCAACCTTGATTACACTTCGTCTACCCCGGGTTGTTTTGCTTTAGTATGGTGTCACATGACCAAGCCATCAATGGTCAGTCAAGAAAAACAGGAATTAATTTCTACAATTTTCTTGACAACCACAAAAATCTAAATGACAAATAAACAAATGAATAAAAAAATATAAAATGTAGGTCTGTTTATGATATAAAAAAAGTCAAAGATATTAACTGTCCTTGTCTGGCAAAAGGATATGATTTTGAAATATCCAATGATGGTCTTTAACAATGTCTACAAATATTACTTTGTGCACTACTATTCTTTAGCAGCTTCTTAGTATACCAAACACCCACCCACACACTACACACACACACACATATATGTATTCTCTACAGTTCAACTGTTTGTTAATTTTTAAATTAAAGTAAAGTAAAAGAGCATGAAAATACACAAAAAAATTCTCTAGATATAAAACAGCAGAACCCATAAAATTGTTTACTAATATAAAAATGAAGAAAGTATGTATGTTCATCCAATTTGATATTTGTAACTTCTACCCAAGAATCTGCTAATGTCTGCCATCAGTTTAGCAAAAAAATTACTGTTCTATTAGCAATCATGAAATGATAATCAAAATCATAAAGCAGCCAAAAAAAACTATTTTATTCCACAATCTGTGGACCAAAAGAAATAACACAGAATTTAACATTGTTATGAGAGCATATGTTTCAGCAGAGGCATGTGAAATTGTTGTAATCTTATTATTGTGGCGACTAAGACTTATTTTTGACATTAAGGACACCAGACTCTATAAAGATGACGGTGTAATTATCCTCTGTAAAACAAGTCCTAGAAATGTAGACCAATTGAGAAAGGAACTGATAAAATTTTCCAATGATTACAAGCTAAATATTATCTATACCACCAGTGACATTGGACTTGAATACTGGTTATTACAAACCATATACCAAAGATATGTATAACCATGTGAGTAAAGAATATATACACTCTCATAGCATTCTAGATAACTGATATAAATCATTCCAAGTTACATTATCTACTAACTCTAGTAATAAGGAAATAGTAAAATTTAATATATAGAAGCTTTAGAACTAAGAAATCAGAAAATAAATTTAGAGTATTTAGAAAAAAAACAGAAATGGTAAAAGTAAACAGAAACACCATAGGTATAATATATGGTTTAATTGTAATGCTCAAATGAATATCAGAAGATTTTTCCTAAATCTAAATAATAAGCACTTTAATCATTCACCAACACTAAAATAAATTTTTAACAAAAATAATGTTAAAATCAGCTATAGCTGCATTAGTAACACCTATAAGTCTATATCCCAACATAGCAATATTATATTAAATAGATACATGTACAACAAAGTTGATTTTAAAAAATTAAATGCAACTGCTGAAAAAAAAAATGATCTGTCCCTTAAACAGCTAATGTATGATTGATAATATTGTATAACAAGCAAGAATACATTATAGTAATGATGTCAAATTTTATTTTGGTTCTGCTAAAAATCCTTAGAAATTTTGTTTGTACCATCATCAAATGACATTAATTAAAGAATGGTGATAATACACACATTGTTACATGAGATATTGAAGCTAGAGTTAATAATGGGAAAGGCAGTAGATGTAATTTATGCCTTGCTGAAAAATTAGTTATCATAAAACACTTAAATAACACTAGTTTATTAAACAAGAGAAATGAACTGAAGGTTACATGTAGGCATAAAAATAAATACTAGATTAAATATATCAATCAAGATTAATTATTAATTTAAGTTTTTTTGTTTTGTTAAAAAAGAACCAGTAATCTCCCTTTATAATTAAATTAGAATTAATATGCACAACTTCACAATTTTATATATATATATATATATATATATTATTTTAAGATATTAAATGCAAAATTATGTTAAAAATCGCAACACAATTACAATTATGTCTCAACACTACAAATGCATCTCCTGGCGAGTGAATGATTGTTTTAATATCCAAAAGCAGAATACTTCCTCTTTTTGCTTGAGAAAAAAGCCTATTTTTTAAGCACAAGCCAATTTTTAATTCTGTGTTTTTTTCTCCATATATGTCTATATATATATATATATATATATATATATGTGTGTGTGAGTGTGCACGTAAAATGTGTATGTATATAAATATATATATATATATATATATATGTATATATATGCAATTTTTATGTATATTACTTATATATTATATATGTGCAGGACTTATTGGAAAGCATTCAATATCAGTGATAGAGCTAACATATTTAGATGGATATATATATATATATATTGGTGTTTTTATGATAGTGTTAGGAAAAATTGTTGTCAGAACACCACTAATACATATGCAGACTTACACACATGCACATTCATGCAATGTAGCTCACAAAATTATAAATATATATGAACAGTGTGGGATTGGGCATATATATGCATCTATGTGGTGTTTCATGCATATGTATGCAATTGGTCACTGTATTACACTTGTTGGTATTATCGGTTTTGCTTTGGAATGGCAGATTTTTTTATAGGTTTAAGATTTTATTATTATGTTTTTATTAATTTTTTAAAGATTACCATATTAGTTTTAGTGTATTTTAGTATATTGCTCTATTTTCTACTGAGCACTGTTTTGAAAAGTAAATGCTATGAACAGTGGAATTTTAATTTATCTGTTCTTTCTCTCATTTGAATACACACACACACACACACACAAAGTAAAGATTAACTTTGTTTATGGTTGACGTGCATTTGGCTTTTGTAGAAGATATTTATTCTATTGTATTTGTCAGTGTGTTCATATCAATAAAAAGCACACAATAGCATTAACTATGAACATGGCCACAATGTGTTGTGTTTAGGAAATAAGACATCCCTATAACTCTAGATACATACACACAATCCATACATTCTGTTAAAATGTAAAAATAATATTATCCATGATAATGGCTAAAAGTACAGCTGAAAGTGCACAGAAATGCAGAACATTAGGACAGTTTTTATGCACTTTGTGTCCAGAAAAGAAAACACTTTTGTGAACACAAGAAAAAAAAACATTAATTGCAGTACCTTGTCAGTTGTTTTTAATGAAACATGTGCATATATATATATATATATATATATATATATATACACACATATATATATATATACACACACACACATATATATATATATATATATATATATACACACATATATACACACACACACATATATATATATATATATATATATATATATATAGAAATATACATATATATATATATAAAATAAAAATAAAGTGAGAACAAATGGCATATATATATATATATATATATATATATATATATATATATATATATATATATATATATATATATAAAATAAAATAAAATGAGAACAAATGGAGCATGATCCCACTGTATGTAACATTTAATTTAAAAGAGGGCTCAAAACACAGTAGAGCTAAACATTATTTTAGGATATTAAAATGTTAAAAATCTGTACACAATCACAATTATAATTCAACACCACAAATGTGTCTCTTCAGGCATTGTTAAACTACTGGTGAGTGAAAGAGTAATTTAATTCAAAAAGCAGAATTTTTTAAAATATAGACTTGTGGGTTTTGCTATGATTAACCAATCGAATGTGACCTACACTAAATTCAAATTCACCAGAAAAAAATTTGTTAATATAGGTCATGACACAAAGTTGTCTGCATACAAAACCTAGACACTTTCCTTATAGGCAAATACAAATTATTATATCATGTGTAGTGGTTTTTTAACATGTTTTAATATTCTAAAATAAATATTATATATATATATATATATATATATATATATATATATATATATCATACATATTGTGCTCGTGTTAATACAACAATGCTGAATATAATATAACAGAGCCGTTGGATATTGTTCAATCAGTTATTTGGGATAAAACTGTCAGTTTTAATAAAATTAAACTTGCTACAGTTGGTAAATGTTCAGTCTATCTTTGTTTACTGTGGTTGGGTAGGATTAGTGAGTCCTTTGTCAATCAGATTTCATTTCGTTCCCATGAGTGTTATGCAGCCAACTTTCATGTTGATTTTCAAACCAAGTCTGTCCTTTCATCTCTGTGTAAAGACGTTCTACCCTCCCACCACCATATTAATTCCATTATTTATTATTTTAAATGTAGTTGTGGACTCAACTACATAAGTTGAACAACACAGCGTTTAAATGTTAGGATTAAACAGCATGTGCCTGCTAAAATACTAAACAAAAATTTTTCGTTTGGTCATATCATTTAAAATACGTACGCATCTTCTATAGCGGATCATTTGATAAATAATTTGACCTGTGCTATGGATTTTAGTGTGAGTTGGTTTTCTGTTCTGGCCAGAGCACACTCATTATTCCATCTGAAGGTGTTGGAGACACTGTTCATCAGGTAAACAAAGAGATTGTTTGCTTAGGATTGCGGTGTTGTGTCGCTAGCATCTTTGGTGTTATAACTTTTATTATTATATTTTTTCCCTGTCCATTCATTCACATCATCCGTGACAGACTTTCTTCTCATAATTTGTTTCCCTATTTACAGTTCTGATGAGAGGGGACGAAACTGGTCGACTTGTGTTTGCATTTTTGTTTTAAAATTCATCATGGCCTATAGTAAAAAATTTCTTGCCTTTAATGCCATAACATATATATATATATATATATATATATATATGAATATAAATATAATATATCATGCATATAATGCTGGTGTTAATACAACAGTGCTCAATATAATATAACAGTGCTATATATATATAAATATAGACATATATATTTATTATATATATATATATATATATATATATATATATATATGAATATAAATATAATATAACATACATATAGTACTGGTGTTAATTCAACACCATCACTTGATAAGACATCAAATGTGTTGAAGCAAAATGGCTATATTTGTAGTGATTTTATAATATATTTATGTTATAATTTTTGATAATTTTAATAATATTGAATTTTTAAATATTTGCACTACTCTGTATTGAGCACTCTTTTAAGAATAGTATTTTTGGTTACTGGAATTTATTCCATATACACCAATCTTATACTTGGGTATATATACCTAAGTATAAGATTGGTGTGTATAATAAATTCAATAACAAAATCTAATATACTCAATATATATATATATATATATATTTACAACTATAAACCAGGAATCATGAATAGAAAAATAAAAATGACTTCTTTCTGTTTGATTGGGTGTTTCTAAAAAAATTCCAGGTGCTATAAAAATGTCATGAATTCTTTGAGATTACTTTATTGTTATTTCAAAATCCCAGTGGAAAAAGGTCTGGAAAATGAAGTATATTTTTCCTCCTTCTCCTTTGGCAAATGAAATTTTGTTTTCATTACAACTCTGTCAGACCTTCTCTAAGCCATATATTTGGCATCACTACTTCCAACAGAGATGTATTTCAATAAACAAAGTAAATAATGACTTTCTAAAGCAAAACATTTCATTGTTTATTCAACATGTGTCAACTTTTTGTCTATCTTTCACCATATCCCACCATGTGTTACCCTCAGAATCAACACCATTTTGTCTTTTTATCTTTCTTCATAACCATCTTCTTTCTATCTAACTATTTCTTCTTTCATTAAATATTCTTTTTTTTTTCTTTTGCTCACTTTCTTTCTTACTGTATCAACTCCTATGTTGCCTCATTTCTTCTTCACCATTTTACTTTAGTTTTCTTTTTCCTTCCAATTTTTTTGGTTTACTTTCTTTTGCTCTCTTTCTTGACTCATGTATAACTTTCTTTTTACTTAACCATTTTTTTTCTATCCAAATCTTTGTCCTTCCCCTCAAAATTTCTGTTTTTTTTTCTTTTGCTCTGTTTCTTGCCCAATGTATCAACTTCTTTCTTTCTTCCTCCCTTTCTTTATTTCTCTCTTTCTTTCTTAATCATTTCCTTTCTATCCAAATCTTTGTCCTTCCCCTCAAAATTTCTTTTTTTTTTTCTTTTGCTCTGTTTCTTGCCCAATGTATCAACTTCTTTCTTTCTTCCTCCCTTTCTTTATTTCTCTCTTTCTTTCTTAATCATTTCCTTTCTATCCAAATCTTTGTCCTTCCCCTCAAAATTTCTGTTTTTTTTTTCTTTTGCTCTGTTTCTTGCCCAATGTATCAACTTCTTTCTTTCTTCCTCCCTTTCTTTATTTCTCTCTTTCTTTCTTCTTAATCATTTCCTTTCTATCCAAATCTTTGTTCTTCCCCTCAAAATTTCTGTTTTTTTTTTCTTTTTGCTCTGTTTCTTGCCCAATGTATCAACTTCTTTCTTTCTTCCTCCCTTTCTTTTATTTTCTCTTTCTTAATCATTTCCTTTCTATCCAAATCTTTGTTCTTCCCCTCAAAATTTCTGTTTTTTTTTTCTTTTGCTCTGTTTCTTGCCCAATGCATCTTCCTCCCTTCTTTCTTTCTTCCTCCCTTTCTTTTTTTCTTTCTTTCTTTCTTTTTAATCATTTCCTTTCTATCAAATCTTTGTTCTTCCCCTCAAAATTTCTGTTTTTTTTTTTTTTTGCTCTGTTTCTTGCCCAATGTATCAACTTCTTTTCTTTCTTCCTCCCTTTCTTTATTTCTCTCTTTCTTTCTTTTTAATCATTTCCTTTCTATCAAATCTTTGTCCTTCCCCTCAAAATTTCTGTTTTTTTTTTTTCTTTTTGCTCTGTTTCTTGCCCAATGTATCAACTTCTTTTTTCTTCCTCCCTTTCTTTATTTTTCTCTTTCTTTTCTTTCTTAATCATTTCCTTTCTATCCAAATCTTTGTTCTTCCCCTCAAAATTTCTGTTTTTTTTTTCTTTTGCTCTGTTTCTTGCCCAATGTATCAACTTCTTTCTTTCTTCCTCCCTTTCTTTATTTCTCTCTTTCTTTCTTAATCATTTCCTTTCTATCCAAATCTTTGTCCTTCCCCTCAAAAATTTCTCTATTTTTTTTTTCTTTTGCTCTGTTTCTTGCCCAATGTATCAACTTCTTTCTTTCTTCCTCCCTTTCTTTATTTCTCTCTTTCTTTCTTAATCATTTCCTTTCTATCCAAATCTTTGTTCTTCCTCTCAAAATTTCTGTTTTTTTTTTTTCTTTTGCTCTGTTTCTTGCCCAATCTTATCAATTTCTTTCTTTCTTACTCCTTTTTCTTTATTTTCTCTTTCTGTTTTTTTTTTTCTTAATCATTTTCCTTTCTATCTTTTCAAATCTTTGTTTCTTCCCTCAAAATTTCTTCCCCTTTTTTTTTCTTTTGCTCTGTTTCTTGCCCAATGTATCAACTTCTTTCTTTTCTTCCTCCTTTCTTTATTTCTCTCTTTCTTTCTTCTTAATCATTTTCCTTTCTATCAAATCTTTTTTCTTCCCCTCAAAATTTCTGTTTTTTCTTTTGCTCTGTTTCTTGCCCAATGTATCAATTTTTTTTTTTCTTTTTCTTCCTCCCTTTCTTTATTTCTCTTTTTATTTTTTTTTTCTTAATCATTTCCTTTCTATCCAAATCTTTGTCCTTCCCTCAAAATTTCATTTTTTTTTCTTTTGCTCTGTTTCTTGCCCAATGTATCAACTTCTTTTTTTCTTCCTCCCTTTCTTTTATTTCTCTCTTTCTTTCTTAATCATTTCCTTTCTATCCAAATCTTTGTTCTTCCCCCTCAAAATTTCTGTTTTTTTTTTTTGCTCTGTTTCTTGCCCAATGTATCAACTTCTTTCTTCTTTCTTTCTTTCTCCTTTCTTTTTCTTAATCATTTCCTTTTATCCTCTTTTCTTTCAAAATTTCTTTTTTCTTTTTTCTTTCTCAAATGTATGTTCTTCCCTCCTCCTTTCTTTATTTCTGTTTTTTTCTTTTGCTCTGTTTCTTTGCCCTCAAAATTTGTTTTTCTTTTCTCTGTTTCTTGCCTTTTCTTCCTCCCCTTTCTTCTTTTTCTTTCTTTATTTTTCTTAATCATTTCCTTTCTATCAAATCTTTGTTTCTTCCTCTCAAAATTTTTTGTTTTTTTTTTTTGCTCTGTTTCTTGCCCAATGTATCAACTTCTTTCTTTCTTCCTCCTTTCTTTATTTCTCTCTTTCTTTCTTAATCATTTCCTTTCTATCAAATCTTTGTTTCTTCCCTCAAAATTTCTTTTTTTTTTCTTTTGCTCTGTTTCTTGCCCAATGTATCAACTTCTTTCTTTCTTCCTCCTTTCTTTATTTCTCTCTTTCTTTCTTTCTTAATCATTTCCTTTCTATCCAAATCTTTGTTCTTCCCCTCAAAATTTGTTTTTTTTTTTTCTTTTCTCTGTTTCTTGCCCAATGTATCAACTTCTTTCTTTCTTCCTCCCTTTCTTTATTTCTCTCTGTTTTTTTCTTACTTCTTAATCATTTTCTTTCTTCCTTTCTATCCAAATTTTTTTGTTTCTTCCCTTCAAAATTTCTGTTTTTTTTTTCTTTTGCTCTCATTTTCTTATTTCTTCCCCAATGTATCAACTTCTTTCTTTCTTCCTCCTTTCTTTCTTTTCTCTCTTTCTTTCTTAATCATTTCATTTTCTATCCAAATCTTTGTTCTTCCCCTCAAAATTTCTGTTTTTTTTTTCTTTTGCTCTGTTTCTTGCCCAATGTATCAACTTCTTTCTTTCTTCCTCCCTTTCTTTATTTCTCTCTTTCTTTTTCTTAATCATTTCCTTTCTATCAAATCTTTGTTCTTCCCTTCAAAATTTCTCTTTTTTTTCTTTTGCTCTGTTTCTTGCCCAATGTATCAACTTCTTTCTTTCTTCCTTTTTTTTTTCTCTCTTTCTTTCTTTCTTCTTAATCATTTCCTTTCTATCCAAATCTTTGTTCTTCCCTTAAAATTTCTGTTTTTTCTTTTGCTCTGTTTCTTGCCCAATGTATCAACTTCTTTCTTTCTTCCTCCCTTTCTTCTTTCTCTCTTTCTTTCTTAATCATTTCCTTTTCTATCAAATCTTTGTTCTTCCGTCAAAATTTCTTTTTTTTTCTTTTTCTGTTTTTGCCCAATGTATCAACTTTTTTCTTTTTCTTTATTTCTCTCTTTCTGTTTCTTGCCCAATGTCAAAATTTCTCCCTTTTTTTTTCTTTCCTCCCTTTCTTTATTTCTCTCTTTCTTTCTGTAATCATTTTCCTTTCTATGCAAATCTTTGTCCTTCCCCTCAAAATTTCTGTTTTTTTTCTTTTGCTCTGTTTCTTGCCCAATGTATCAACTTCTTTCTTTCTTCCTCCTTTCTTTATTTCTCTCTTTCTTTCTTAATCATTTCCTTTTCTATCAATCTTTCTTCTTCCCTCAAAATTTCTTTTTTTTTCATTTTTTTCTCTGTTTCTTCCCTCAAAATGTTTTATCAACTTTCTTTTTTTCTTCCTCCCCTTTCTTCCCTTTCTCTCTTTCTTTCTTAATCATTTCCTTTCTATCCAAATCTTTGTCATTCCCTCAAAATTTCTGTTTTTTTTTTTTTGCTCTGTTTCTTGCCCAATGTATCAACATTTCTTTCTTTCTTCCTCCCCTTTCTTTATTTCTCTCTTTCTTTCTTAATCATTTCCTTTCTATCCAAATCTTTGTCCTTCCCTCAAATTTCTGTTTTTTTTCTGTTTTTTTTTTTTTCTTTTGCTCTGTTTCTTTCTTAATCATTTCCTTTCTTTCTTTCTTCCTCAAAATTTCTTTCTGTTTTTATTTCTCTCTTTCTTTTTCTTAATCATTTCATTTTCTATCCAAATCTTTGTTCTTCCCCCTCAAAATTTCTGTTTTTTTTCTTTTCCTCTGTTTCTTGCCCAATGTATCAACTTCTTTCTTTCTTCCTCCCTTTCTTTATTTCTCTTTCTTTCTTAATCATTTCCTTTCTATCAAATCTTTGTCCTTCCCTCAAATTTTCTTTTTTTTTTTCTTTTGCTCTGTTTCTTGCCCAATGTATCAACTTCTTTCTTTCTTCCTCCCTTTCTTTATTTCTCTTTCTTTCTTAATCATTTCCTTTCTATCAAATCTTTGTCCTTCGCCTCAAAATTTCTGTTTTTTTTTCTTTTGCTCTGTTTCTTGCCCAATGTATCAACTTTCTTTCTTTCTTCCTCTCCCTTTCTTTATTTCTCTCTTTCTTTCTCAAAATTTCTTTTTTTTCATTTCCTTTCTATCAAATCTTTGTCATTCCCCTCAAAATTTCTCTTTCTTTTTTTTTCCTTTTTGCTCTGTTTCTTGCCAAAATGTTTCAACTTTTTTCTTTCTTCCTCCCTTTCTTTATTTCTCTCTTTCTTTCTTAATCATTTCCTTTCTATCAAATCTTTGTCCTTCCCTCAAAATTTCAGGTTTTTTTTTCTTTTGCTCTGTTTCTTGCCCAATGCTTTATCCCTTCTTCTTTCTTTCTTCCTCCCTTTCTTTATTTCTCTCTTTCTTTCTTAATCATTTTCCTTTCTAACCAAATCTTTGTCCTTCCCTCAAAATTTCTGTTTTTTTTCTTTTTGCTCTGTTTCTTGCCCAATGTATCTGTTTTTTTCTTTCTTTTCTTCCTCCTTTTCTTTATTTCTCTCTTTCTTTCTTAATCATTTCCTTTCTATCAAATCTTTGTTCTTCCCTCAATTTCTGTTTTTTTTCTTTTCTCTGTTTCTTTTTTTCTTTTCCTTTCTTTCTTGCCTCTTTGTTTCTTAATCTTTTTTTCTTTCTTCCTCTTCCTCTCAAAATTTCTTTTTTTCTTTTCTGTTTTCTTTCAATGTAATCATTTCCTTTCTCTCAAATCTTTCCTTTCTTCCCCTCAAAATTCCTTTTTTTTTTTTTGCTCTGTTTCTTGCCCAATGTATCAACTTCTTTTCTTTCTTCCTCCCTTTCTTTATTTCTCTCTTTCTTTCTTAATCATTTCCTTTCTATCAAATCTTTGTCCTTCGCCTCAAAATTTCTTTTTTTTTTTTTCTTTTGCTCTGTTTCTTGCCCAATGTATCTCTTTCTTTCTTTCTTCCTCCCTTTCTTTATTTCTCTTTTTTCTTTTCTTAATCATTTCCTTTCTATCCAAATCTTTGTCCTTTTTTCCCTCAAAATTTCTGTTTTTTTTCTTTTGCTCTGTTTCTTGCCCAATGTATCAACTTCTTTCTTTCTTCCTCCCTTTCTTTATTTCTCTCTTTCTTTCTTAATCATTTCCTTTCTATCCAAATCTTTGTTCTTCCCGTCAAAATTTCTGTTTTTTTTTTTTTGCTCTGTTTCTTGCCCAATGTATCAACTTCTTTCTTTCTTTCTTCCTCCCTTCTTAATCATTTATTTCTCTCTTTCTTTCTTAATTTCTGTTTTTTCTTTTCCTTTCTATCCAAATCTTTCTTTCTTCCCTCAAAATTTCTGTTTTTTTTTTTTCTTTTCTGTTTCTTGCCCAATGTTTTTTTTTCTTTTTTTCTTTCTTCCCTTTCTTTCTTTTCTCTCTTTCTTTTCTTAATCATTCTTTCCTTTCTATCCAAATCTTTGTCCTTCCCTCAAAATTTCTGTTTTTTTTTCTTTTTTGCTCTGTTTCTTGCCCAATGTATCAACTTCTTTCTTTCTTCCTCCCTTTCTTTATTTTCTCTCTTTCTTTCTTAATCATTTCCTTTCTATCAAATCTTTGTTCTTCCTCTCAAAATTTCCTTTTTTTTCTTTTGCTCTGTTTCTTGCCCAATGTATCAACTTCTTTCTTTCTTCCTCCCTTTCTTTATTTCTCTCTTTCATTTTCTTAATCATTTCCTTTCTATCAAATCTGTTTTTTTTCTTACCCTCAAAATTTCTGTTTTTTCTTTTTGCTCTCTTTTCTTTTCTTGCCCAATGTATAAATTTCTTTCTTTCAAATCTTTTTCTTCCCCTTTCTTTTTTTTCTCTCTTGTTTCTTTCTTAATCATTTCCTTTCTATCCAAATAATCATTTCCTTTCTAAAATTTGTTCTTCCTCTCAAAATTTCTGTTTTTTTTTCTTTTGCTCTGTTTCTTGCCCAATGTATCAACTTCTTTCTTTCTCCCTTTCTTTATTTCTCTCTTTCTTTTTTAATCATTTCCTTTCTATCCAAATCTTTGTTGTTCCCCTCAAAATTTCTGTTTTTTTTTTCTTTTGCTCTGTTTCTTGCCCAATGTATCAACTTCTTTCTTTCTTCCTCCCTTTCTTTATTTCTCTCTTTCTTTCTTAATCATTTCCTTTCTATCCAAATCTTTGTCCTTCCCCTCAAAATTTCTGCTTTTTTTTCTTTTGCTCTGTTTCTTGCCCAATGTATCAACTTCTTTCTTTCTTCCTCCCTTTCTTTATTTCTCTCTTTCTTTCTTCTTAATCATTTCCTTTCTATCAAATCTTTTGTTCTTCCCTCAAAATTTCTTTTTTTTTTTTTTTTTCTCTGTTTCTTGCCCAATGTATCAACTTCTTTCTTTCTTCCTCCCTTTCTTTATTTCTCTCTTCTTACTTCTTAATCATTTCCTTTCTATCAAATCTTTCCCTTTCTTCCTTCAAAATTTCTGTTTTTTTCTTTTGCTCTGTTTTTTTCTTGCCCAATGTATCAACTTCTTTCTTTCTTCCTCCCTTTCTTTATTTCTCTCTTTCTTTCTTAATCATTTCCTTTCTATCAAATCTTTGTTCTTCCCCCTCAAAATTTCTGTTTTTTTTCTTTTGCTCTGTTTCTTGCCCAATGTATCAGCTTCTTTCTTTCTTCCTCCTTTCTTTATTTCTCTCTTTCTTTCTTCTTAATTTTTTTCCTTTCTATCAAATCTTTGTCCTTCCCCTCAAAATTTCAGTTTTTTTTCTTTTGCTCTGTTTCTTGCCCAATGTATCAACTTCTTTTTTGCTTCCTCCTTTCTTTATTTCTCTCTTTTTTTCTTCTTCTATCAAATTTTTTTTTCTATCAAATCTTTGTTTTTTTTTTTCTTTGTTTCAAAACTTTTCTGTTTTTTTTTCTTTTGCTCTGTTTCTTTCTGTCCAATGTATCAACTTTTTTCTTTCTTCCTCCCTTTCTTTATTTCTTCTCTTTTTTTTCTTAATCATTTCTTTCTATCAAATCTTTGTTCTTCCCCTCAAAATTTCTGTTTTTTTTTTTTTGCTCTGTTTCTTGCCCAATGTATCAACTTCTTTCTTTTCTTCTCCTTTCTTTATTTCTCTCTTTCTTTCTTAATCATTTCCTTTCTATCAAATCTTTGTTCTTCCTCTCAAAATTTCTGTTTTTTTTTCTTTTTTGTTTCTTGCCCAATGTATCAACTTCTTTCTTTCTTCCTCCCTTTCTTTATTTCTCTCTTTCTTTCTTAAATTTCCTTTCTATCAAATCTTTTTGTTCTTCCCTCAAATTTCTTTTTTTTCTTTTTCTGTTTCTTTCTTCCTCCTCCCCTTTCTTTTTTTTCTCTCTTTTTTTTCTTAATCATTTCCTTTCTATCAAATTTTTTGTTTCTTCCCCTCAAAATTTCTTTTTTTTTCTCCCTTTTTTTTCTCTGTTTCTTTGCCCAATGTATCAACTTCTTTCTTTTCTTCCTCCCTTTTTTTTATTTCTCTCTTTCTTTCTTCTTAATCATTTCCTTTCTATCCAAATCTTTGTTCTTTTCTTTCAAAATTTCCTTTTTTTCTTTTCTCTGTTTCTTGCCCAATGTTTTTTCAACTTCTTTCTTTCTTCCTCCTTTCTTTCTTTTCTCTTCTTTCTCTTCTTTTTAATCATTTTCCTTTCTATCCAAATCTTTTTTCTTCCTTCAAAATTTTGTTTTTTTTTCTTTTGCTCTGTTTCTTGCCCAATGTATCAACTTCTTTCTTTCTTCCTCCCTTTCTTTCTTTTCTCTCTTTCTTTCTTAATCATTTTCCTTTCTATCCAAATCTTTGTTCTTCCCTTCAAAATTTCTTTTTTTTTCTTTTGCTCTGTTTTCTTGCCCAATGTATCAACTTCTTTTCTTTCTTCCTCCTTTCTTTATTTCTCCTTTCTTTCTTTCTTCTTAATCATTTCCTTTCTATCCAAATCTTTGATTTCTTCCCCTCAAAATTTCTTTTTTTTCTTTTGCTCTGTTTCTTGCCCAATGTATCAACTTCTTTCTTTCTTCCTCCTTTCTTTATTTTCTCTTTCTTTTCTTCTTTCTTAATCATTTCCTTTCTATCCAAATCTTTGTTCTTCCCCTTAAAATTTCTGTTTTTTTTTTTTTGCTTTCTGTTTCTTGTTCCCAATGTATCAACTTTTCTTTCTTTCCTCCCTTTCTTTATTTCTCTCTTTCTTTCTTAATCATTTCCTTTCTATCAAATCTTTGTTCTTCCCGTCAAAATTTCTGATTTTTTTTTTTTCTTTTGCTCTGTTTCTTGCCCAATGTCCAACTTCTTTCTTTCTTCCTCCCTTTCTTTAATTTTCTCTCTTTCTTTCTTAATCATTTCCTTTCTTTATGCAAATCTTTGTCCTTCCCCTCAAAATTTCTGTTTTTTTTCTTTTGCTCTGTTTCTTGCCCAATGTATCAACTTCTTTCTTTCTTCTCCCTTTCTTTATTTCTCTCTTTCTTTCTTAATCATTTCCTTTCTATCAAATCTTTGTCCTTCCCCTCAAAATTTCTTTTTTTTTCTTTTGCTCTGTTTCTTGCCCAATGTATCAAATTTCTTTCTTTCTTTCTTTATTTTCTCCCTTTTCTTTATTTCTCTCTTTTTTTTTCTTTCTTAATCATTTCCTTTCTATCAAATCTTTGTCATTCCCCTCAAAATTTCTTCCCTTTTTTTTTTTTTTTTGCTCTGTTTTTTGCCCAATGTATCAACTTCTTTCTTTCTTCCTCCCTTTCTTTATCTCTCTTTCTTTTCTTTAATCATTTCCTTTCTAAAATCTTTGTTTTTTTTCTTTTTCTTTTCTTTTTTTTTTTTGCTTCTTTTTCTTGCCCAATGTATCTTTCTTTCTTTCTTTCTTCCTCCCTTTCTTTATTTCTCTTTTTTCTTTCTTGTTTTTCCTTTCTATCAAATCTTTATTTCCTTCCCCTCAAAATTTCTTTGTTTTTTTTTTTTTGCTCTTTTTTCTTGCCCAATGTATCAAGTCTCCCTTCTTTCTTTTCTTCCTCCTTTCTTTATTTCTCTTTTCTTTCTTAATCATTTCCTTTCTCTCTCTTTCTTAATGTTCTTCCCGTCAAAATTTCTCCAAAATTTTTTTTTTTCTTTTTCTCTCTGTTTCTTGCCCAATGATCTTTCTTTCTTTTCTTTCTTCCTCCTTTCTTTATTTCTTTTTTCTTTTTCTTATTCATTTCTTCTCTCTCTTTCTTTTTTAATCTGTTTCTTTCCTTCAACTTCTTCTTTCTTCTTCTTTCTTTTTTTTTTTTCTTTGTTTCTTCTGTCTTTTGGCTTTCTGTTTTTTTTTTTTTTTTGCTTGGTTTCTTTATTTCTCTCTTTCTTTCTTAATTCTTTTTCTTTCTTTCATTTCTTGGTTCTTCCTTTCAAAATTTCTGTTTTTTTCTTTCTTTCCTCTGTTTCTTGCCCAATGTCTCCTTCTTTCTTTCTTCCTCCCTTTCTTTATTTCTCTCTTTCTTTCTTAATCATTTCCTTTTATCAAATCTTTGTTCTTCCCCTCAAAATTTCTTTTTTTTTCTTTTTTCTCTCTTTCTTTCTTTTGGATGTCTTGATTCATTTCTTTCTTTCTTTTTCTTTCTTCCTCCCTTTCTTTGTTTTTCTTTCTCTTTCTTTTTCTGTTTGTTTTAATCATTTCCTTTCTTATTTCAAATCTTTTTTCTTTTCCTTCTCTTTTTTTCTTTTTTTTTTTTTTTTTTCTTTCTTTTCCCTGATTCTTTTTCTTTCTTTCTTTTTTCCTTTTTCTTTATTTCTCTCTTTCTTTCTTAATCATTTCTCTTTCTTTCATTTTGTCTTTTCTCTTTTTTCTTTCTCTTTTTTCTTTTTTTTTTGGCTTCTTTTTCTCTTCTTTTTTTTGCCCAATGTATCTCTTTCTTTTTTTTGGCTTCTTTATTTCTCTCTTTCCTTTTCTTTATTTCTTTTCTTTCTTTTTCTTTCTTTTTTCTCTCTTTTCTTTCTTTTCTGTCTTGTTCCGTCTTCTGTCTTTCTTCCTGTCAAAATTTCTTTCTTTTTTTTTTCTTTTCTATCTCTGTTTCTTTCTTTTGCTGTCATTCTTCTTCTTTCTTTTTCCCTTTCTTGGTTTCTCTTTCTTTCTTTCTTTTTTTTCCTTTCTATTTTTTTCCAAATCTTTGTTCTTCCCTCAAAATTTCTTTTTTTTTTTTTTTTTTGCTCTCTTGTTTCTTGCCCTGTCTTCATTCCGTCTTTCTTTCTTTTCTTTCTTGGTTTCTCTCTTTCTTTCTTCTTAATTTCTTTCTTTTCTTTATTTCTCTCTTTTCTTTTCTTGGTTCAAAATTTCTCTTTTTTTTTTCTTTTTCTCTCTTTTCTTTGGTTCCAATCTATTTCTTTCTTCTTCCCTTTCAAAATTTCTGTTTTTTCTTTCTTTTGGCTGTCTTTTTTTCTTTTTCTTTGTGTCTTCAACTTCTTTCTTTCTTTCTTTCTTTTTTCTTCCTTTTTCTTTCTTTTCTTTCTTGATTCTGTCTTTTTTCTTTCTTTTTCTCTCTCTTTTTCTTTCTTGTCTTTTCTTTTTTCTATCTTTTTGGCTGTTTTTTCTTTCTTTCTTTCTTTTTTCTTGTTTTTTTTTCTTTTCTTTTGGCTGTCCCATTTCTCTTCTTTCTTTCTTTTCCCTTTCTTTATTTCTCTCTTTCTTTTCATTTCGGCAAATCTTGATTCCTTCTTTCTGTCTTTTTTCTTTTTTTTTTTCTTTGTTTCTTGATTCTCAATGTATCTTTTCTTTCTTCCTCTTCCTTTCTTTTATTCTTGATTTCTCTCTTTCTTTTTTTTAATTTTTTTTTCTTTTTCTTTTTGGCTGTCTTTTCTCCTTCTTTCCTCAAAATTTCTGTTTTTTTCTTTTGCTTTCTTTTTCTTTTCTTTCTTTTGGCATTTTTCTTTTCTCTCTTTCTTTCTTTTTCTTGTCTTATTTCTCTTCTTTCTTTTCTTAATCTTTTCCTATTTCTTTCATTTCTTTGTTCTTCCCCTCTTTTTGTTTTTTTTTTTTCTGTTTGATTCTGTTTCTGTCTTTTGGCTGTCAATCTCTTTCTTTTTCTTTTTGGCTTTCTTTTCTCCTTTCTTTTTGGCTTCTTTATTTCTCTTTCTTTCTTTTTAATCATTTCTCTTTCTATTTCTTTTCTTTGTTCTTCAAAAAATTTCTTTCTTTTTTGTCTTGATTCTGTTTCTTTCTGTCTTTTTTGGCTGTCTTTTCTTTCTTCTTTCTTTTTGGCTTTCTTTTCTCTCTTTCTTTCTTTTGGCTGTTTTCTTTCTCTTTCTTTCTTTTTCCTTCCCTTTTTCTCTCTTTCTTTCTTTTTTTCTTGCTTTCTCTTTTTCTTGCCCAATGTCTTGGTTCTTTCTTTCTTTCTTTCCTTTTTTATTTCTCTCTTTCTTTTGGCTGTCTTTCTTTCTTTTGGCTGTTTTGTTTCTTTTTCTTTTCTTCTGTCTTTTTGGCTGTCTTTTGGTTTCTTCTTTCTTTCTTTTGGCTTCTTGGTTCTCTCTTTCTTTCTTTTTCTGTCTCTTCTTCTTTCTGTCTTTTTAATCTTTTTTTTGCATTTATTTTCTTCTTTCTTTTTCTTTCTTTCTTTGTCCTTCCCCTTTTGGCTTCTTTTTTTTTTCTTTCTTTTGGCTTTCTTGGTTCAATCTTTCTTTCTTTTGGCTTTCTTGATTCCTCTTCTGTCTTTTCTGTTTATTTCTCTATTTCTTTCTTTCTTGGTTCTCTCTTTCTTTCTTTTGGCTGTCCAAATTCCGTCTTCTGTCTTTTGGCTGTCTTGTTTCTCTATTTCTTTCTTTTTTTTTCTTTTTCTCTCTTTCTTTGGCTTTCCAATGTCTTTCTTTCTTTTGGCTGTCTTGATTCTTTCTTTCTTTCTTTTTGGCTGTCTCTCTTTTTTCTTTCTTTCCTTTCTATCCAAATCTTTGTCCTTGATTCTTTCTTTTTTTCTTTTTGCTCTGTGTCTTGGTTGTCTTTTTCTTTCTTTCTTCTCTTTCTTTTCTTTTGGCTGTCTTAATCTCTTTCTTTCTTTTGGCTGTCTTGGTTCTTCTCTTTTTTTCTGTCTTGATTTCTTTTTTTTTTGTTTTGGTTCTCTCTTTCTTTTTCTTTTGGCTGTCTTCATTTCTCTTTCTTTCTTTTCTTGTCTTTTCTTTTTCTTTCCTGTCTTGGTTCTCTCTTTTCTTTCTTTCTTTCTTAATCTTTCTTTCTTCCTTTTATCAAATCTTGTCCTTCCCTCAAAATTTCTTTTTTTTTTGTCTTTTTCTCTTCTTTCTTTTGGCTGTCAATCTTTTCTTTCTTTTGGCTGTCTGGTTCTCCTTTCTTTCTTTTCTGTCTTCTTCTTTCTTTTGGCTGTCTTGATTCTCTTCTTTCTTTCTTTGGCTGTCCAATTTCTCTTTTCTTTCTTTTTCCTGTCTCAAATTCTGTCTTTTTTTCTTTTGGCTGTCTTTCTTCTCTCTTTCTTTCTTTTTTGGCTTTCTTGTTTCTCTTTCTTTTCTTTTTCCTTTCTGTCTTGGTTCTCTCTTCTTTCTTTCTTTCTGGATTTTCTTTTCTTCTTTCTTTCTTTTGGCTTTCTTTTTTTTTTCTTTTTTCTTGGTTTCTTTTTCTTTTGTGTCTTGATTCCGTCTTTCTTTCTTTTGGCTGTCTTATTTCTCTCTTTCTTTTTTTATTTGGCTTTCCTTTTTCTCTCTTTCTTTTCTTTTGGCTTTCTTGATTCCGTCTTTTTTTTTTTTTGTCTTGGTTCTCTCTTTCTTTCTTTTGGCTGTCTTGGTTCTCTCTTTCTTTCTTTTGGCTGTCTTGATTTCTCTTTCTTTCTTTTGGCTGTCTTGGTTCTCTCTTTCTTTCTTTTATTTGTCTTGGTTCTCTCTTTCTTTCTTTTGTCTGTCTTGATTCTTCTTCCTTTCTTTTGGATGTCTTGGTTCTCTCTTTCTTTCTTTTTTTTTTCTTCGTTCTCTTTTCTTTCTTTTTTGATTCCGTCTTCTGTCTTTTGGCTGTCTTGGTTCTCTATTTCTTTCATTTCTTTTCTTGGTTCTCTCTTTCTTTCTTTTGTCTGTCTTGATTCTCTCTTCTTTCTTTTGGCTGTCTTCGTTCTCTCTTTCTCTCTTTTGGCTTTCTTCGTTCTCTCTTTCTCTCTTTTGGCTTTCTTGGTTCTGTCTTTCTTTCTTTTGGCTGTCTTGGTTCTCTCTTTCTTTCTTTTTGGCTGTCTTTGTTCTCTCTTTTGGCTGTCTTGGTTCTCTCTTTCTTTCTTTTGGCTTTCTTGGTTCTCTCTTTCTTTCTTTTGGCTGTCTTGATTCCGTCTTTCTTTCTTTTGGCTGTCTTGGTTCTCTATTTCTTTCCCTCTTGTTTTCTCTTTCTTTCTTTTGGCTGTCTTGATTCCGTCTTCTGTCTTTTGGCTGTCTTGGTTCTCTCTTTCTTTCTTTTGGCTGTCTTGGTTCTCTCTTTCTTTCTTTTGGCTGTCTTGATTCCGTCTTCTGTCTTTTGGCTGTCTTTCTTCTTTCTTTTTTCTTTCTCTTTCTTTTGGCTGTCTTGTTCTTCCTCTTTCTTTCTTTTTTTGTCTTTTTCCGTCTTCTTTCTTTTGGCTGTCTTGGTTCTCTCTTTCTTTCTTCCTCCTTTCTTTATTGTTTCTCTTTCTTTCTTTTGGCTGTCTTGATTCCGTCTTCTGTCTTTTGGCTGTCTTCTTTCTCTCTTTCTTTTTTCATTTGATTTCTTTCTTTTCTCTCTTTCTTTCTTTGTTTTGGCTGTCTGGATTCACTCTTTCTTTCTTTTGGCTGTCTTGCTTCTTTATTTCTTTGTTTTGGCTGTCAAAATTTCTTTTTCTTTCTTTTGGCTGTCTGTCTTCTTTCTTTCCGTCTTCTGTCTTTTGGCTGTCTATTTCTCTATTTCTTTCTTTAATTTCTTCCTTTCTCTCTTTCTTTCTTTTCTGTCTTGATTCCGTCTTTTGTCTTTTGGCTGTCTTTTTCTCTCTTTCTTTCTTTTGGCTGTCTTGTTTTCTTTTTCTTTCAATTTGATTCCGTCTTCTTTCTTTCTTTTGGCTGTCTTGGTTTCTCTTTCTTTCTGTCTTTATTTCTCATTTTCTCTCTTTCTCTCTTTTTTTTTGGCTGTCTTGATTCCGTCTTCTGTCTTTTGGCTGTCTTGGTTCTCTATTTCTTTCATTTGGATTTCTTGGTTCTCTCTTTCTTTCTTTTGGCTGTCTTGATTCCGTCTTCTGTCTTTTGGCTGTCTTGGTTCTCTATTTCTTTCATTTGGCTGTCTTGGTTCTCTCTTTCTTTCTTTCTTTTTTCTTTTGGCTGTCTTATCTCTTTCTTTCTTTCCTTCTTGGTTCTCGTGTTTTCTTTCTTTTGGCTGTCTTGTTCTCTCTTTCTTTCTTTTTTCTGTCTTGGTTCTCTCTTTCTTTTCTTTTAATCTGTCTTGATTTCTCTTTCTTTCTTTTTGGCTGTATTCAAAATTTCTGTTTTTTTTCTTTTGGCTGTCTTGTTTTTCTCTCTTTCTTTCTTTTTGTCTTGATTTCTTCTTTCTTTTGGCTGTCTTCGTTCTCTCTTTCTTTCTTTTGGCTTTCTTGGTTCTCTCTTTCTTTGTTTTTTGGCTGTCAAAATTTCTCTTCTTTTTTTCTTTTGTTCTCTATTTCTTTCATTTGGCTTTTCTTGGTTTTCTCTTTCTTTCTTTTCTTCTTGATTCCGTCTTCTGTCTTTTGGCTGTCTTGGTTCTCTATTTCTTTCATTTGGCTGTCTTGGTTCTCTCTTTCTTTCTTTTGGCTGTCTTGATTCCGTCTTCTGTCTTTTGGCTGTCTTGGTTCTCTCTTTCTTTCTTTTGGCTGTCTTGATTCCGTCTTCTGTCTTTTGGCTGTCTTGGTTCTCTATTTCTTTCATTTGGCTGTCTTGGTTCTCTCTTTCTTTCTTTTGGCTGTCTTGATTCCGTCTTCTGTCTTTTGGCTGTCTTGGTTCTCTATTTCTTTCATTTGGCTTTTGTTCTTTTTTTTCTTTTGCTGTCTTGATTCCGTCTTCTGTCTTTTGGCTGTCTCTTTTCTTTCTTTTCATTTGGCTGTCTTCTTTCTTTCTTCCTGTTTTGGCTGTCTTTTTCTTCCGTCTTATTGTCTTTTTGGCTGTCTTGGTTTCTCTTTCTTTTTTTTTTCATTTGGCTTTCTTGGTTTCTCTTTCTTTCTTTTGTTTTTGTCTTGATTCTCTCTTCTTTCTTTTGGCTGTCTTGGTTCTCTATTTCTTTCTTTTTGGCTGTCTTGGTTCTTTCTCTTTTCTTTCTTTTTGGCTGTCTTGATTCCGTCTTCTGTCTTTTTGGCTGTCTTGGTTCTCTCTTTCTTTTCTATTTTTCTCTTTTTTTTCTTTTCTTTTTTCTTTTTTTTTGTGTCTTGATTCGTCTTTTCTTTTTGGCTGTCTTGGTTCTCTATTTCTTTCTTTTTTCTTTCTTGGTTCTCATTTTCTCTTTCTTTTCTGTCTTGATTCCGTCTTCTGTCTTTTCCTGTCTTGGTTCTCTCTTTCTTTTTTTCTTCTTGGTTCTCTTTCTTTCTTTTGGCTGTCTTATTCCGTCTTTCTTTCTTTTTTCTGTCTTGGTTCTCTTTCTTTCTTTTCTCTTTCTTTTCTCTTTTCTTTCTTTTTCTGTCTTGATCTTTTCTTTTGGCTGTCTTGGTTCAAATTTCTTTTTTTTTTCTTTTGCTCTTTTTTTTGGCTGTCTTAATTCAATCTTCTTTCTTTTTTTCCTGTCTTTCTTTCTTTTCTTTTTTTTTCTTTCTT